GCCTGGACGTACTTGTGTATTAGGGTGGATAGGTAGGTTGGAGCAGCATTATGTAGGGACTTGTAAGCAAGCACCAGAATCTTAAATTGAGCCCTATATCTTAATGGAAGCCAATGTAGGGACTGACAGAGCAGGGAGGCGTGGGAGGTGAAAGCGGACAGGAAACTGAGCCCTGCTGCTGCATTCATTACAGATTGCAACTGTGCAAGCTGGGAACACATAAGACCACTAGGAAGGGGATTGCAGTAGTCAAGGCGAGAGAGAACAACAGCATGGACCAGCACCTTAGCCGTGTCCGGCGTTAAATATAGGTGAATGTGCGCTATATTTTTTAAATGGAAGTGGCAGGATTTGGCGATAGACTGGACATGAGAGGTGAAGGAAAGGTTGGAGTCAAAGAGAACACCTTGGCAGCGAGCCTGTGAGGTAGAGGTGATAGTAGCCCCGTTGACTTGGATAGAGACAGACATGGGAGTAACAACACTTGAGAGAGGAAAGACCAGAAGTTCTGTTTTGGACAGGTTGAGTTTAAGGAAGTGAGCAGCCATCCAGTTGGAAATCGCAGAGAGACAGTCAGACACGGGTCAAGATGTGCGGAGAGAGATCAGGAGTGGACAGGTAGATTTGCGTGTCATATAAATGATAACGGAAGCCAAAGGAGCTGATGAGTTTACCAAGGGAGGCAGTATAGATAAAGAACAGTAGGGGACCAAGGACAGAACTTTGAGGAACGCCGACAGAGGGGGGTTGAGGAGAAGAGGCAGAGCCAGAGAAAGAAACGCTGAAAGAGCGCTGGGAGAGGTAAGAGGAACTCCAGGGGAGAGCAGTATCCCGTAGATCAAAATTAAAGAGAATGAGAAGCTGTTGATGATCAACAGTATCAAAGGCAGCAGCGAGATCAAGGGGAAGAATCAGGATAGAGTAATGGCTGCGAGATTTAGCAGCAATTAAATAGTTGGATACTTTGTGTGGCGAAACCAACCTCGCCACTGTACACTGGAGAAGCCTGGTTGCTCGCCTGCTCCCTTTAGACTATGGTCCTGCATTTTAAACTTTTATTTTACCGGCAGAAAAGTTTATTTGTGCCTTTCTGCGGACTGTTAAAGCCATGCTACCCCAGATAGCTATGCCATGGAGCCCAGCCGTATACTGAAAGACTGTGTGAAAGACTTTGGCTCCATGGCGATTGAACTGTATGTAGGTGATCTGAGCGCCATTCGGTAGTAATGTGCACTCAGATCTAAGCTATCTGGGGATATGTAGAATGTCTATGTTTTATGGAATAAATGTAACTGTATGTAATTTTATGTCTTTTATTGTATTGTTACTGCCATGTGGTTAATTGAGTCTTGTCTCTGCCCTGGGAGATAATTGGATTACTTCACAATTATCTCTAGGACAGAGAGGAGGGATTGTGATGTAATTGTGGGTGTGTTTTACGGTTCTCCTGTAAATGATTGGTTGTACTGTGTCCCACCCTGTGGGATGTCCCCTTGCATGGGGACTTGCATAAAAGACAGTGTGTGGCCATTACAGTGCAGTTCCTGCTTAACCCTCAAAGTGAAGTGTCGTCTCATTATTGGGGGGAGGTTTTACTGTATGCTGTTAGAGACTGAGTGACGAGCGCGGAATCCAGACTGAAGGGGTCAAGCAGAGAGTTGGATTCGAGAAAGTCTGTCAATCTGGCGTACACAACTCTCTCACACGCAATTCTGTTGCCTAAATGTCCATTTGCAAAACAAGTCTACTCTTGCATATCAGAGATATTTTGCAAATCTTTACACACATAAACATAAGAATTGTTATAGTAGACATGCCCCTACTCGCGGTATAGTGAGTAGGGGCATTTGGGAGATTTAAATCTCTCTTGTGCTATTATGGGGGTCATATTGACCCCCATAGAGTGAGAGGTGGTACTGGGGGGCTTATGAAGTGGTGGGGAGCACTGCTCCCTGCCGCTTCTATAGTTACATATTACATGGAGGGAGCTGCACGCCGGTAGCTCCCTCCTTGTAATAAACTGCACGAACAAACATACACTGATACATTGTGTTTGTCATTTTACACAGCATGGGAAAATTCAAAAGAACTTTCCCACGCTGTGTAAAATGACACAGAGCACTCTGATTGGGTGGCTTTCAAGCCACCCAATCAGAGTGTTATGAGTCATTTTACACAGCTTGGGAAAATTCAAAAGAACTTTCCCACGCTGTGTAAAATGACACAGAGCACTCTGATTGGGTGGCTTTCAAGCCACCCAATCAGAGTGTTATGAGTCATTTACACAGCGTGGGAAAATTCAAAAGAACTTTCCCACGCTGTGTAAAATGACTCAGAGCACTCTGATTGGCTTAAACCCACCAATCAGAGTGTTCTAAGCCTAATTGCAGGGCGGGGCAAGGCTTTATAAACCTTGACCCGCCCTGCGGAGCTCAGTATGCGGCGTGCCCTCGAAGGGCGAACATGGATTATTTTTTTTTGCGCTCGGTTTTTTTTTTTTTTTAAAGTGCGACGGGTGTAATGGATTTTTATTTGGCCTTTTTGGGGGCTGAAGAAAGAAGATTTTAGAAAAAAGAAGACGTCAAATGGTAAGTTTAATTTTTTTTTTTTACAGGTTAGTTATTTTATTCCTCCCTCACTATTTGTAGGGTGAGGGGGGTAGGTAGGGGATAGGTTTTTTTGGGTGGGGGGTTGGTGACTAGGGGCTTGGGACCCCTAGTCACCTTGATTGGGGGGGGGTGTTTCATTTAGGGCCCCCACCCACCGCTCAGGGGTGGGGGCCGGGGGGAGGACAGTAGGTCCCCCCCCTTATTGTTTTACTAGGGCCCCCACCCACCGCGCAGGGGTGGTGGCCAGGGGGGAGGACAGTAGGTCCCCCCCCTTATTGTTTTATTAGGGCCCCCACCCACCGCTCAGGGGAGGGGGCCGGGGGGAGGACAGTAGGTCCCCCCCCCTTATTGTTTTACTAGGGCCCCCACCCACCGCGCAGGGGTGGTGGCCAGGGGGGGGGGGACAGAAGTTCCCCCCCATATCTTTACTTAGGGCCCCCAGGGGGGGCCAGTAGGTTCCCCCCCATCTTTATTTAGGGCCCCCACGGGCATAGGGGGGGGGTTATTAGTTTTTTTTTTGTTTTTTTTTTTACAGTGAGCAGCTATAAGCTATAAGCTGCTCACTGCTTACTACACATGCCCCTACTCGCGGTATAGCGAGTAGGGGCATTTAATTTACTAATACTAAGTAATCTTTACTCAGTATTAGTAAATGTGGCTGAAAGACCAATTTAGGTCTTTCAGCCTTTTAGTAGATAACTCCCTGATACCGTGGGAATTAGGGAGTTATCTACTAAGCGGCTGCAAAATGCAGCCACAGCAATGAATAGGATTGGAGTTTCATTCATTCGAATGAAATTCTGATCCGAATAAAGTGCCGAATTGCGTTCTAAAAGAAACGAACATACTGTTCTCATTCAGTTAGAACGCAATTCGGCAGTTTCATGTAAAATGACAGGAAGCATTGTGGGAACACTGAGGAAAGCTAGGGATCATGGGAAAATTGCTCTGATCAGCGGAAATGAAGCACACTTTGCTCCTCCGCTGGTCAGAGCTGGTCAAGCGGAGGAATCCTCCATAAGGCAAAGAGTCCCTACTTTGTCTTATGATTTTAATGAAAACTAAAGAAGACAGGGAGAAAAGAAGAACAGATCCTGAGAGAGGGGGAGAAGAGGAAGAGATTGAGGAAAGGTAAGTTCGGCATGACAGTGCCGCTTTAAGGACCAAACTTCTGGAATAAAAGGGAATTATGACATGTCACACATGTCATGTGTCCTTAAGGGGTTAAGTTCGATATTCATTTTGAATTTATGACAATGCTCACTTAAATAACCCTACATGAGTCTATAGGATGAGCTAATAACACCCATAGAGAAAATCTCAATTGAATCATATAACTTTCTCATATGACATAAAACATAAACTTCACACAAATGAAGTATATGTCCCCCACACGTAGTTGAAATAAAGTAAAATGAATATTTAAAAAAAGGTTTATTGAATGAAACGTGCTTAAACACTACATACTTCACAATAAATGTTATAAACGTCAACTACAGTGCGTTCTGATTTTTCCAGTCAGTTGTGCAACTTGTTTTTCAGAGATTTCCAAACACCAGAGGTAAGCAATGTTTAGCCACTTTTTCAGTGAGATGTGCAATTTTGAGCCTTTTCTGATGGCTAACCACAAAGAAGCACAATTCTTGTTAATACATTTCCAGGAATATCCATCAGAATATTGGCGACGAGCTATCCGATGCAGAGGTTGATGACAGTTTTCACAGTCCAGATTGTTTGCAAGTAAACAGCGCTGTTTCATGAAGTCGATGACATTGGTGTTATTCGTACAAGTTATAATAGGCTGGAGTGTGTTCTCAAAGTGTCGATCCATTTTAATTTGAGGGCAACAAAACAAAATAGCAAACTGGCAATTAACATACCCCAAGAGTGACTTATATATACCCCAAAAGTGACAGTAGTGTATATGTTACAGTTAGAGTGAGAAATCAGTTAATGTGCACATTACCTAGTTAATCTGCAGATTAACTGATTTGCTCAGTTAAAGTGCGGAATCGAGAGTTTTCCGCACTTTACCTTGGTAATGTGCAGATTAACTGCTTCCGTCTAGTTAAAGTGCAAAATGTTTGTTTCTTTCCCCTTGGATAAAGAGGAAATTATTTATTACAAAACGGCCTTGCAGAAACCTGTTTCACCCTTTTTCAGTGCAAAAGTTTGTTTCTTTCCCTCGGTAAAGAGGAATTATTTATTACAAAACGTCCTCGCAGCAGAACCTGTTTCACCCTTTCAGTGCAGTCTCTGCAGAGTCGTTCACTTGTCGTCTGAATGCAGAAAGATTTTGTGTGAACCTGACTCGATACTTTTGTGAGCAAGTTCCTTTTCAATGCCCTCCATTCGAATTCTCAAAGCATAGACGCATAGCTTGTTGTTTCTCAGAGGGGGGCTTGCTACTAACAACAATGCTGCTCCTTAAGTCCGAGAAATACTTCTCATTGAGGAGAATGAGACCAAGGAGAGGTCTGCTCATGGACCACTGATTCTGACAGTCCTTCAAATATGATGATGATGGTGATATTGAGAACAGTGGAGAGCATCTGCATCTGCTGGATCATTTCAGGGTGGTTGCTGCATAATGTGCAGGAAGGCGCTCGCTCTCTTGTGGTGGTGGTGGGAGGCTCCTCGTTTCTTACCAGTTTGGGATAACGGTTTGAAGAGGAGGTATGTGACTATGTGGTTTAGAAAGGTTTAGAAAAGCAAGCAAAGAAAATGTTAGCAGTTTATAATGCAAAGCAGCCAAATGTCGACTAAGGAGTCACTGTGAGAATTAAAGTACCCGAAGTGGACAGAGCAAAAACTAATGCTCGATTTTTAGCTGTGGTTCTTATTAAAACAGAGAATGGCTTTTATAAACTTGGTACTAGAACTGATATTTTGAAACAATTGTATGCCAAATCGGAATTCAGTGTTTGCAAAGAGAGATTTTTAACGAAAGAAGATGTCCCTGCTGTAGAAATACCTTTACGTCAAACAGCAATCAAACAATCCCTTGATACTGGGCAGGGTTTCCGAAAATGTGACTGCAAATCGAAAATGTACCACAAATAGGTGTGCTTGTCACAAAAAACAATTGCTATGTAATTGAAAGTGTCGCCAATCTTTAGATTGCACTAATAAGTAAGCATAGTTTTATAATATGTTTGTTTAGCAAATTAATTTCCTTAATCGTTTGATTCTTTCTATTGCAGTTTTGTAACAGAAACTTGCTTCTTTGTTGCTAAATAAATAACATTATGTTAACTTGATTCTTGTTTGATTGTACTAACTTGCTTCTTAAACGTTGCTGTTGTTCCAGCAAAATATCTTATTTTGCACTTTAACTAGTGCCTAGTAGGTAATGTGAGAAATCTTTGAGAAATGAAACAATTTTCTGCACTTTAACTGATCAGCCGAGTTAATGTGCACATTAACGGATTTCTGCACTTTAACTGTAACATATATATATATATATATATATATATATATATATATATACTGTAAGAATGACAGTGATGGTTGAGTTCAAAGAGTGACAGTTGGCGGTTGAGGTCAGGGGGGACATAATCTTCACTTGACAGTTGAGGTCAGGATCAGGGGGACATAATATCCACTTGTTCAATCAGGAGGACATAATCTTCATTTAATCCAGATACTTATTACACCTGGAATACCAATTCTAACCATAGTACTTTACAATTTGTTTGAATTTTACTATCCTTGTTCAGTAACAAATATAAATATAGATTGCCCTTCAAAATATGTTAGCATTTTAAACTTCACTTGAGACACTACTAAACTGCTCCAAGATAAAACTGCTAGAGCATTTTCTCAAATTAAGACAAGAACACTATAACAACTTACTCTTGCTGTATAGGTTATGGATCAAGGAGGCCCTTACCTCTTGGATTCTGTCTGCCTTCTGCACTTCTGTTTCTTAATCACTGCAGCTATAAGCCTGTCTCTATTGTCAGTAAAGTAAGTTATAGTTACGGTACTCATCTGCCTGTCCAAACACAGGGTGGGCACACAGGTTGGGTGCAAGCTGTCAAGGCCCCACTTTTTCAACTAGCTTTGTTAGATTTTGGTTTTGCAATCAGACATTCACAGTGTATGTATTTTTTGCCAAACTCTGAATGTAAGTGTTAAGAGGCCGATAGAACCTATCAACTCATTCAGCAGTTGTAATCATTTGAGACGAGTTGATCTAATGTCAGTGCCTGAGCTACTTAGCCCTGATCTTGCAGGCTGTAATGAAAGGTTCCCAACTGGAAGAGCCAATTCCTGGTTTGGGCAAACATCACGTGTTTGGGGGTTTTCAGCAACTGTGAGAACGTGAGAGTATGTTTTACTTCATGTTTTGTTTTTACATATGTTTCAATTCATTATCTATATATTAAAATGTGGGTCATTTTGAGCCTGGAGTTTCCCTTTGAAATATAAGTGAAACAAATAGGAGTCCTAATTCTTATCATATAACAAATCAATGCCTTTTGTGCAAAAATCCTTATAATACAGACATCATCTATATTACCTGCTTGACAGCCAGGAAGCAGGTAAGCATACCTGTAGCAGGAGTGTGAGGGTGGGCTGATGGACCTCTTAAAACACTGATGCACCAGAGATACTTCTCAACTGGGGTCACAGCACGTGGCCACCCTACATAATGGTAATCGGTAACTCTGGCATCCCGGATATTTCTAAACTACATTTCCCTTGATTCTCGACCATCCGCAAGACTGGCACGTCATTGTAAATATAGTTATATAGTACATCAGGGTAATCTACTAGCTCAGTCACAAGACTTGCACGAAAATAGCTGCGCTGGACGCATTCTCGGTTATGCAAACAGCTTTGGCGATTTTAACCTGAATGCTGCAATTTGGATTTGAATCAGGAAAACGTGTCGCTTAATAAATAACCCTGTGAAATCAGACCAACTTTCCCATTGTAAGAATACAAAAGCTACACCGAGAGAAAAGGACAATGTAAACGGTTTGAGCAGGGCCCTCAACCACCACCACCCCCCTCCCTCCTCCCCCCCTCCGTCCCTGTGCGTCCAACTCGCCTGGTTACTAATACGCGTATGTAATTAATTATCATTAATAATATGTTTGGTATTTTTTCAAAGTATTGTTTGATTTATTTTGTTATATATATTTATATATATATATATATATATATATATATATATTGGGTGGCCCAAAAGTAGGTATCCCGTATAATCAGTGCACTATATCCCAGCAGATGGTATGGGTACATACACAGTGACACATAAAGTGACAGTTACATTTCAGATGTTTAAATATCAGTGTGGCAGTTGGAGAGAATAGCATGGGATGTTACAAAGCTGATTTAAAACATCTGTAAATACACTATACTATACTACATACTGTATATACTTTTGGGCGTGTGTTTGTGTATATATACTCTGTATACACACACACAACAAATAAATCAAATTTCGTTAAAAAAAAACTAAAAAAAGTATCTGTATTTCCCCCCATTCTGCATAGTAGGAGGTGGATGAGGGGGGCTCAGTGTGACATGGTTAACCCCTTAAGGACACATGACGTGTGACAGGTCATGATTCCCTTTTATTCCAGAAGTTTGGTCCTTAAGGGGTTAAATAATAACATTATTAATATAAATTAGCCCATGCACTCCCAGCCTCTCCTGTTTACACACAATATCCCAGCTGTCAGCACAGTGTGTTACTGCATCAGCCATTAAACTCTGCCTGCACTGTGTTCATTCACGGGTTAATATTCTCTATAAACTAGCGGGTTCAGCGCCTACTCCTATTCCTATCGCTATTTACCATCATGGTTCCGGTGTTATTGAACCCGCTCCTCCTCTCCGACCTGCAGCGCCTGCTTGATCTTGTTACTCAGGCAACTGTGTCTCCCGAGTCACTTCCGGTGGTGACGTAATAGGAGCGCTCTACCCGCGTAACACATGTCGCCGCTCGGAGCGCCAGCCGCCATGTTTCTGGTTACATTTGCTAGAACACCGTAGAGAGTGATATAGATACAGAGATTGGAGTCATATTTATTATTAAATAAAAACCCGGCCGCTGACAGGGAAAAGACACAATTTGGGTTGATTCGTTTTCTCATTTTAGCATATTTTATTAGAAAAATGTATAACTGGAGGCTTGAACTGGGGCTGATAAATTCCATATTTAATTAAACTAATAAAACTACTGCTTATTAAAAGAATACACTAGACACTATTTTATTGAAAGGAAAAACATGTTGAAAAAAAACAAGTCCATATAGAATGCCCATGGTCATGTAGGTGTGATTGTATCTCCACAGACTGCTTTGTAAACACATTTATTGAAGTTTGAGGACACATTATATTACTGTATTATTGCTGTGGAGCTCTGGTATAAATTCAGACACAGCAAGATACTAATTTCATACAGAGGGACATTAGGATAGGGAAAATAGATTTCTACGAGTTTCCCATCAGTTTTATGCTCTCGGCTGAGTCTCCTAGGGATACAAGTTAAGTTAAAATGTTCTGCTGAATAGTCCTTCGTCACTTTGTTATATATGTCATATTTGTTTATAACAATTTCTGGCTCATTTTATGTTCTTTTTTTGGTAACAATAATCTGTGGATCGATATAGCATCAGCCAGCTCTAATTAAAAAAAAAAGAAAAGAGAGAAAGATAGATTTGTGCCCAAAATGGGCACTGTCCTTCCTAAGAAGGGGCACTTGGGATGTATGTATTAACCGCTAGAGGCACTTCTTGTTGCTTCTATGCAGTGCGGACGTTCAGCGAACGTTCGCTCCCGGATTGACTACGTGCTAATTAAGCAAGACGGACTATCTCGATTGAGAAAGGCATCCATAGAACCTGCAATGTGGTCAGACCATGGCTCGGTCCAGATAGAACTGGAATCCCCGTTATTTAAACCTGCAACTTGGACTTGGCGTCTGAACGAATCCCTGCTCCAGGACCTCGCGGTGCGGAACGAGGTCTCCCAAGCACTGGAGCACTACTTTGAGGAAAACGGGACGGATGAAATGTCCCCGGTATCCGTATGGGAAGCACACAAGAGTGTCATACGCGGCACTCTTATTAGTATTGCGACCCGCAAAAGGAAGGAAGCAACCCGCGCGATGACTGAATTATACGGCACCATATCGCGCCTCGAGCTCCAGCACAAGCGCTCACAGCTAGTCGAAATATATAGCGAATTAATGGAAGCTAGGCGTAACTTGACAGTCCTCCTTGCACAAAAACACCTACGATCGCTTCAAAGGTTGAAAAACTTTTTCTACACACACGCGAACAAAGGGGGGAAGTTTCTCGCACGCCTACTCCGAGGGGAAGTAACGCGCACACAGGTACAAAAAATTCGCTTGCCATCAGGCGGTATATCGCCGTATCCGGAGGACATAGCAGGGTGAATTCCGAGAATACTATAACTCCCTATATAATCTCCGCCAATCGGCGGACCCGACTCATAGACGGGATTCGTCGCTACACATGCGAACGTACCTACAAGACACCGTACGGACGCGAATAAATCCAGAAACGGCGTCTATGCTTGATGAATTGATTACCACTGACGATCTCGCCGCAGCGCTTAAAAGTGCGAAAACGGGGAAGGCTCCGGGACCGGATGAATTCTCCACGGGCTACTACAAACACGTCGCCCAGATCTTACTACCGTGGCTGACAAAGGCTGTCAATAAGGTGACGGAAGGGGGACAATTTGGCGTGGAATCCCTAATGGCGACTATAACTGTTATACTCAAACCCGGAAAGGACCCGGAACAATGCGGCAGTTATCGTCCAATTTCCCTACTGAATGTGGACACGAAACTCCTGACAAAAGTCCTGGCGACCAGATTTCAACGGATACTACCGAATCTAGTTCATGTGGACCAGACGGGATTTATCCCAGGCCGAGAAGCTCGGTACAGTACGCTACGCCTGTTTTCTGTACAACACCATGCACGGAAACATCGGAAGCCCCTTCTGCTGTTATCCACGGATGCAGAGAAGGCATTTGACCGGGTGGATTGGTCGTACATGACCCAAACACTCCGGTGCATGGGTTTAGGGCAGAGAATTATGGCGTGGATATCTGCCCTATACAGTTCGCCGAGAGCGTCGGTACGTGTTAATGGAGCTCTGACTACGAGCTTTGGAATCGCAAACGGCACCAGGCAGGGATGCCCCCTGTCGCCGCTCCTGTTCGCTCTCTCCCTGGAGCCACTCCTACAAGCA